TTGAACCAGGTAAAGAAGTTGGGGAACAAGTTAAGGGAGATCTGGTCGTGTCAGGACGAGGGCAAGTTGCGTAGGGATGAACTCGTGACGAGAGAGTTAGAGAATCTGTTTAGGGAGGAAAGAGAGATTATCCAGGCGTGGAGATCAGACTTTCTGGAGAGGGTAAAGGCTAGAAGCGTATCATGCGAAGAGACTAGTGAGCGATCTGCAGAGAGCGAGACAACGRAAGACAAAGTAACRMAGGGAAGTAGCGACAGGACATGAGCGGGACTGCACTMCACACGACGRGTCGGTACTCATTACATGTGGTAGGGAGACTGGACGGACCATTAGTGTTAGTGATCATAGAACTCCAGCTCCATACCAGACTGTGCATAGTTGAGGAGGCAGAGTGTGTCCGCCGCGCGCTGCGTGAGGCTAGGGTAACAGGACTTTGGATTGGAATAAAAGGAGGACGGAGGATAAAATACGTACTCCAAGTGACACCTTTTGAAGGGCGGTCTCGGATAAGGGTATGGTACGAGACGACCAGAGAGGCTGAGAGGTTGAAGATAAGTAAAGCCAGGAAAGCTGGAGAGTTAGGGAGAGTTATAACAGATGGTGCAATACTCAGGGTGTTAGCCGCTCACGACCGGTACAGGAAGGAATCGATAAAGACTTTAGAGGCGATAGAGGATGGTGGAGAGAAGGAGGAATTTGAGACTATGATCTGTCTCAAGGATAGAGGTTCTGTCACGGGTGTACTGCAGATCCGGAGAGGCACGGCCTTGTTGGTCGATCCCGAAGAAGAGGTTTACTTAGACACAAGGATTCTTGGGATAGAGGGAGAGCACGAGATCCGCGACCCGTACGGGATACTGGAAGTGGTAATTAAGGCAGTCGAGAGCTAAGATTGGAGGCGGACGCGAGCCGTGACAAGGAAACAGGTCCGGGCTGCCGCAACTGTCACAGGTGTAGGCTGCAGCGACGGTCATAGGGTCGGGCTGTAACAGTTGGCTAGAATACCTAACTGCGTCTTCTGGCGGTCCAATGGAACCTGACACGATGGGGCCACAACCGACCACGGGCGAAGCGGAAGAGGAGTACAGGACATCGCCCGATCGAGCTCTGAGGGATCTGAAGGAACGAATTAGGCGAGAAGCACCGCTGAGATGGGCTGACCAAACCAATGACGGAGGGCGCGACGTAAGGGGCGAACCAGTTGCGACAGAGCCGCAGGAGGCTCTAAAGACGGGAACCTCGAGCGGACGACGAGAAGCGATGAGGCGATGCTCCCCCGAGTACGAGCGGAGGGACACCATAGCGGACAGGCACAGAGACGACTGAAGAGAGAGTTTGAGGGATTCATATTGGAGGGACAAAGATAGAGACAGGGCGCCGCCCAGGCGAGTCTTCGACCCCCAGACAGGGGAGTCACATCCGCTCCCTTACGAGAGCAAGGATCGCTATAGTATTACGCACAAAGCCTCAAAGCCTCCTACTTTCAGAGGCTATGGTATCACAGAATATCTGGAGAAGTGGGAGCTTCATGCCTGCCGGAGTCAGTGGTCGAAGGAAGAGATTATAGAGAACTTCCTATTTAATGTGGACCCAAGTCTCGGTAGGGAAGTTAAGGAAGCTCGACCGAAGGATGGGAAATGTACTACGTACAAGAAGAACCTCGTTGAGCTTTACAAATTGGAGGATAACAAGTATT